GATTGATTGATTGATCGATCTATCAAATTTATATGCCACCCATCTCACTGTATAAGTTGCTGAAGACATCTTTTTTTTTTTTTTTTTTTTTTAACTAAGCACAAATATGGTGTCCATATAGAATGTGAATGGTGGAACTCTTCACCCAACTTGCCTATTTATCCTATTTGGATCTCCTTTTCTTCTCTGGAGCAACGTGATCTTATCTGATTCTGTTCAGATAAGGAAATGGAGGTATGTTAAATTAAAAATAAGTGGAACAAACCATCGTGATCCTGACCTGGACTTATATTCTATCCATTATCAGCACTTCTTTTCCACTCCCAAGGACTGGGACGAAGAAGCACCCTCACCTAGGAATTCTTAACTGGCATCCCAAAACCATTTAAGATGTAAATGTTACAAAGATTGGGAAAAAATACAAGAGGGACACTTTCCAACACAGGGAAAGATGATCAACTCACTGGTGCATGTTGACCTGTCACCATGATAATTTTGCAGCAACCAGAAGGTAAGAATGCAGCTACTCATACCAGACACCTAATTTGTTCACAGGTTAAAAACTTAGAGACTACATTACCTAATATGCTAATCCTGCTTTGTTTAAACCTGGGTTAGAGTTTTTGTGGCTTAGGCACAGTTGCGCAAATCCAACTCATTTGCTTAGTCTGCAGTTTCATATATTATGCAAATCTAGAAAATGATTTAATTCAGTAACTAGGTTACGTGTGCTGGGTGAACATAGCAATATGTTCAACTAAGTTATTTGCTACTAGGCAAACAAATGAATGGTTTAACATTGGTTCTTCATGTTACCTGTCCTTCAAACAAGAATAACTCTTTATAAAGATAAAGCTTCTAGTCTTTATAGACTCCAGAACTATGAGATTCTAAGATCTCCTTATAGCAAGTATAGAGTGAACCCATTAATAGGAATGGTTCCTAATAGATTAATTCCTAAATACACCTCTATTTTCTTCTCCTTCCAAACAAACTATGAACAATATCGCCATGACAAATGTGATACTAGGTCATAGTTGAAAAATGTCATAATGAAATGTAGATTCCAACATGTACATTTGTAGATGTACAAATGTAGATTCCAACATTCAAAGCACATTTTACATAAACTGTAATGATTACACATATGTAAAATCAGTAGACTGGCCTATGTTTTGTTTCATGGACTCAAGTAACATTCTTTTCTTTGCAAAACTACTATATAAAGGGTTTTTTTCCCCCATGCAGCTTATATTCACGTTGTTTTTTTTATTGGCAACCCCTTTCAAGTAGTAATAGCAGTAGTTTTATTTAGCATGTGCTTATAACTAAGTGCAAAACAGGTAAATCAAAATTACATACAATATAAACTAATATACAAATAAAACAATATAATAACTAGGATAATACTTTTTTTCCCAATACAGTATAATAATCAATGTAAACAATTCCTAACACTACCACAACTTTAATATAAATCTATAGCAAATAATGAGAGGGGGAGAGATAAGATTTTTCTAATTTTAAAGGCTGCTATGAAAAAGAGTGTTTTAAGGATCTTTTTAAATTTCTGAAGATAAGACTCCACAAAGGAGTCAAGAGGTCATTGATTCCAGAGAGCAGAAATTAAGCGGAAAAAGCCCTAAAACATGAAGTGCAATTTTAAAATAAGAAAAAAAAACCCTAATTGAATGTGATTGCATTATCAATGTGAGTATGTAGAAGCATGAATGGTAATTACATTTTTCAAATAATGGAGTGTTTCTATAGGTACAGCCAGAACGCAGCCCCAGTAATTTAAAGTGATGACTCTCTTAAAGACCCAACCAATATAGGAATTGATGAAAATAAGAGATAGGATATTGGGAAAGATTCACGACCAGTTTGATTCACCAACCCACCATCACTGGTTTCTTACTAACCTAGGAGTCAGCATCAGACTTCAAGGAAATCTAAGCCTAACCTACCTGTATCATACAGGCTGTAGACCAACATAAATAGGTTACATGGAAAAACGATGAGCACTGTTTTTGTTTTCTGTGTCTAATTCCCAAGCCTGATATCCAAACAAGGTGCAGGTCAACCTTATAATCAGACTTCCCCCAGTTCCTTCCACCCCAATCCTCAGTACCTGCATATTAACTAATATAATTAATTGAAGCTGTTCCTCAAGGAAAGATGCCACCACAGACAGACAGCAATTTCTGCTCACCCTAATTTCCTTGCCATTGAGTAATGCTGAAGTGCAACATCTCAATTGTGCAGCTATGAACTTTCTGTTGTGGGATTATTTTTCACTTTCCCATGTTTCCATTGTGGCCAAATGTGGTCCTTGGCCTGGAAACTGTATAGCAGAATTATGGGATGAACCCAGGGAAAAACTACTCTACAGTTCCCATTTGTAATGACATTGTGGAATTTTATTTTTTTTAAACTGTATGGTACTTTGACTTTTTATGGAACCTATATCCTCCTGTCATGGTAAATAAAGGGCACCTTAATGTTGCTCTTTTATATGTCATCTGGAGTCACAAAGTCAGCATAGTTGCCAAGGAAAGCAATGTAAGAATATGGGGAGGTCATATCTTGGCCTCAGCCTTCACTGAAGGCTGACTCACATGGAAAGCATCGGCCGGACCTTCTGTTTGGCTGAGGCCGTGAAGGCACCAACATGTCCCTTGTGGCTTCAGTGGCATTTCTAGGGCTCTCTGCCCTCTGCCTGAGTTCAACGTGGGCCATCACAAGGCAGTCTGGAAAGCTGGCTCGCTAATTGCACTGCTTCTTGTCTGAGTGTGCAAGAATGAAATTAAACCTGAGGAGAAAGTGGGTCCTCAGCTTTTTGCACCTGTAACCGTCCTCCATCCAAAACGTGGGGCCATGGGGTGGGTAGCCACAGGGGAGATGGATACTTAAATGTGGAAAATAGATACAATAAAATACAATTTACAGGGCTGGTTTTAATCTATAAAGATCTTTATTGTTCAGCATTGGGTAACTTGCCAGACCGTATCTCTCAACTGGAGTTGGCCCAACCACTTTGTTCAGGCGGGGAGAAGCAGCTGGCTGACCCCCATTTTTAGGAGATGGGGGGCTAAAGCCTGGAGGGGTTGTTTTTCTGTAATGGGTCTGGCTTTCTGGAATGACCTTCCATAGAAGGTCTGGTTGGCTCCAATGCCCATCTTCCAGAAAAACCTGAAAACAGAGCTCTTTGAGAGAATGTTTGGGAAATTATAAATATTGCACTTCTATCTCGTATTATGACGTTACGTAAGCTGCCAGGAGTCTGTTTAAGATTGCAGTGGGATGTAAGTTTGGTTAATAAATAAATTTATATAATATATAATTAATATAATATTATAATATAAGCAAAAGAAGAGCTGCAATCTAGCTCTCTAATCATTAGGCCTCGTGACTGGAAGAAGGAAGGGGGATTTCAATCAAGCAGCACCAGTTAATTCTGTGGAGACTAGGAAAACAATTTATACACAAGTGTGGGTTGAGATGTAACTCTTCATGGAGTTTTTTTGGGAGTGGGGCATCTTTCTAAATGTGACCAATACATAAAATAAATAAATAATCAAGGCAACGTGGCAGCTGATGAAAAAAATACTCTTCCTGTGGCCTAATTCAATATTGCCTTGATACCATGATAGGATCTGAACAGGACTTGCCCTCACACACAGGCCTAGATTTTAAATAGAGTAGATCAAATTAGATGGTGGCCCTTTGACCAGACTAAGCTACTTCAGGCTGCAGCTTGGACACAGCGTTGTCCTCAATATAACCGTTTCCCTGCACTCTGAAAACTAGCAAATCAGGAACACCAGGTCAGCCCCTGGTATAGCATTTTCCACATGCAGGGTGGTGTTGTTTTTTTTAAACTCAGTTGTGTGAGGAACAATCCCAAATATGACCTGGCATGGTACAGATAGAAGTTGACCATTTTATTTGTTGTTCAATGCACTGACACATGGGATATAGACTTCTCACAAATCATCCTTCAATGTGCGTCTCTATTCTTGAGGCAATAGCCTTAAGATGACTAATGATTTTCTAAAATAAAATCAGGATTACTCATTGGCATATGTTACAAGCTTCTTCACCCCCAAAATTACAGCCCAGATCACAGCCGTCAATGAACGCATGGTAGAGATCCTGTTTTAGCAAACTGATGGGCTCACATTTTAAAAATGTTAAATTAGGAGCCTATGATCGTAAGGTGCAATTAATGTAACAAAAGATTGTGTGTGTGTTCATTGGACACCTAGAGAATGTGTAGTAAGAACTGGGTTTCAATTTCTATATATCAGAAGTGTAATTGGCTCATATATTTTGGGCTTGTTCTGTAGCGGCACCATTTTGATTTAATGTTCCTAAAGTTCTTAACAGGGTTTTGAGAATGAAGGTTTAAAGATGTGACTATGATGGTCAATTATATTCCAAAAATACTACCTACCAAAGGATGTAAGACTGTATTTGCTGTTTTACTCCAGCAGAAAGATTTTGTTATGCTTGATTTAAAACCTTGAAAATATGTCTTCACTATCTACCGGTTATTTAAGATCTGAGCTTTCTGTTTTACATATATTTATTCCAACTTCTCTCTCGCTCTTTTCAGTTTTTTTCCTATTATCTTTTTATTTCTGTACTTTGAATATTTTTC